TTTGTAAAGATTTCATACCAGAAACCACGTCTCTGTGACTGGGAGTAAGGCTGGTGGTGAATGGTGGCCAAAGTCTACCCACCAAAGAACCACAGTGCTGTGTGGTGCCTGGGCCTGCTCACAGCCAACGAGAGAAAATGTGGAATGTGAGACTGAAGGGGTTAATGGGTTAATCTGACTTGGATACATCTGTGTAGATATGAATAAAATAGCCATTTGTTTAAAATTTGGGATTAATTTTACCTATGATAATTAGGAAAAGATGATCAATGGTCTTATTGCATTTTGGACAAAATAGAGATTTGAATGGCCATTGGAGCATTGTACACTGAGCAAAAATCACTGTCTGGGATTTTGTTTAAATAACGATTCAATTCAGTAATAAATTAATACACGAATATTTAGAATTGATTAGCAGGTATGATTGGATCAAGGTTACAGTTGAGGGAGGAGGATATAGACTATTCTTTTAAAGATGACACTGTTCTTTATTTGAGAAAAATAATTTTTCTATTAATGTTATTAAAATGATGTCAAGCATATGTATATATTCGGCACTTTGCCAGAGGAAATTCAGACTACCATTGGAGCACTAACTGCAATTATGACAATCTCCTCTTGCTATTGGATCCTAATTATTTCCAGAAATAATTATTTTTAATTATTTAAAATATATTTATTTTAAAATGTATTTTTATTCCAAATGACTGTATTTTATTTTTCTACCTCACAAAACATTTTAACTACAACTAAAAAGAATACTCTAATTCAACAAGAGTATTTTGATGATTTTTCAACTTAACTACCAATTCCCCTTTTATTGATATTACCAGATTTACTAATTTTCTAAAACTTTAGAGTGAATCAATTCTCTTTTGGTACTTAAATATCAATTACTCAAGGTAAAGTAAAGCAACAATAAATGTCATCTTGATAAGCTATAAATCCAAATTCATTGAACTCAAACATCTCAATTCTACCAAGCAAAATTCTGATACAATCATTGTTAAAAAAAACAAAAACCTTGCTTTGAAAAGTATCATCACTTTAAAGCTGGTAAAAATAAACAACTGCCTTTTTCTCTTGCTATCTTCCTTCCTCTTACTGCGGTCTATTTCCTCTATTAATCTACATATTACTTACATATCATTTGATTAAGGAAGATTTGATGAAAAAGAGAAGAGCTTCACCTTGCCTGCTTGCCTTTTCATAAAGAGGGTTTATCTTGTTTTCATGAAGGTTTGTATGGTCAACATTGAACCCTTTGGGGCAGCAACATTTTCTACCTATGAAAATCAGTGAATGGGGTTAAGATTCCATAAGGGCATATTTACTTATTTTAATCTCCAATGAATTTTTCCAATGGGATGCTTTTTAAACCGCTATTTTCATGATTTCTTTTTATCCTATAGATAGTTTGTGAGAGGATAGAGAGGAATATGAGAGAGAATTAAAGTATTTTTGTATTCTTAAAGGAAACAGTCTACGTAAGTCCTATGTCTTCAATAAAGACCTGAGTCATACAGTTGAATACAATATTTACTGATGTTTAGGAAATACCAAGGTGAGGTATCAAAATAATTTTTTTTTAAATTGCAAAATGGAACCAAGTGCACAGGGGTGAATTTTAGTAAGTTGCTCTCCTTAACAAATCTTATTTGAAATGGATAAACCAATTATTCTAGAGCATGCTATTGACTACATAAGGGAATAATAACATTTTAGCCATCTAGGAAGAAATCAAGTCATAGTTTGGTAAATTAGCACTGAATACATCAGCATGGAATCTACCAGAACTAAAGATTATTGATTGAGAATTTTCCCACATCTAGGTTATTTATATACTCCCTTCTTTTTTTAATTCATGAGAGAAATTGAACTTTAGAACTCACAAATACATTACTTTGTTTATCTAACAATATATATTCTTGTATGGCTTTATCTTTATAACTAATCTCTACTTCCCTTCTGCTGATAATATCAGATGAAACAAAGCCAGGGTATAGCTGTTTCGTTTAAGTCCCAACAATACTCCATGCATCACTTCTCTCTACTGTAGGTAGCCACTTTTTAATAAATTAAATCATGGATAAACTTGTCAACACTCATCAGGAACCCAAATGTAAGAGATAGTGTAATCTCTTACCCTTTTGCCTGGATTTGGAATAAATTGCTCTTCCTTCACTACTGATCATAAAAAAATACTGGAAGGTCTAAATACACAGCTTGAACCATGTCCCAAGTGGTTGCATGCATTGTCTTTGGAAAACAACAACATGCCCACGGTTGGAAAGCCCAGCACGGAAAACCAGGATGTATCTTGTTTACCGTTAAACAGAAACAGTGCAAGCTTCATGCACAGGTGCATCCTCAAAAGAGAGGACTGCAGAAACCTTATCCACATTTCCAACCAGTTGCAAACCTTGACTGTGCTCCACAATTCAAACCGCACCTTGTAACACCTGGATGCCACTCTTAAAGGCTTTCTACTTGAAAGATGACTTCTACCTTCCTGTACCATTTTTCCTCATCATATCAGTGGTGATAGTAGGGGGCACCTACTACCAAAGACAAGAAAAGGGCAGAGCCCAGCTTTCTGGTAAGATGAGGGCAGAAGAGCTCCATGGACTTACCTGTTCCCAGTATGAAGGTTGAAATGGAACTTGAATGATAAGAAATCCTCCCCTCCGCACAGCTTCTTCCTTGTTTGTATTAAGAGAAGTGACTCCTCTCAGTTTCCTATGCTTGCAACCTTGGAAATGTAGCCACCTTGCCCAAACGCTGGCCTGAGGACGGGATCACTGGCTCTCATCTTGCTAGCACACTGTGTCCCTTTTCCAGGAGCTCACCAGCTCTGTTCCCAGCTGGTCAGGTCTGGATTAAGAGGAAACTATTTCTCCGCCCTCTTGGGTCTTAGGACCCTTAGGCAGAACTTGGTTGGCTGGTCTCTCGCTGCCCTGCTGTTGCCACAGCGCCTTGCTGCCGTCCATGCCCAATATAAAGTTAAGGAGGGGAGAGTGAGAGGGCGGGGAATGAATGGATGATTCTGTAAGCAAAGGGACTCCGATGAAACTAGCAACTCTCCTCAGGGGCTGATCCGGGTGTGCGTGTGTGTGTGTGTGTGTGTGTGTGTGTGTGTGCGCGCGCGCGCGCGTGCCCTTTTCCCCCTTGTAGACGGGATCTTTTCTCCATTCTCGGTTCGGCTCAGGTCTTTCCCTGTGTCAGTGTTCCCGATTTTAAATAGTTATTCTGATGCACCGCCATGCATAAAATGGATGATTTGCAAGCTCCTTTGCCTCACGTAATTCCGCGGATAATTTGATATCCAGATTCTGCACCAGCAAAAAAATCTTTTCCTTACAGAAAGTGATTGACTTCCCGCGACCCAGGCAGGGAGTACCGCTCGCTGGGGCTGCGGACCCGGGAGGCGGCCGCCTGGGCTCTGGCCTTGGTGCTGAATCCGGAACCGCTCCCGAACCCTCCGCGTCCCCCGGGCGACTTGCGCGAGCTTGGAGGGGACCCCGCAGCTCTAAGCGCCCTCTCGAGCGTGGCCGACCGGGAGCTGGGCACGGCCGATGCCCTGAGACCCTGCACAGGGCACGTGACTGGCTTATTCCTGTGCCTGGAGCCGGGAAAGTTTGGTCCAATGTTTTTTTTCTGTAACTGGAGCGGCCTCTCCCCTCCCACCTGGGTCGCCATGGAGACTCCAGCTCTCTCTCTTCCTTTCTCCAGGCAAAATGGGCGAAGCTTAGCTAGCTCAGCCCTGACTACAGCAAGCCCTTTTTTCTTTCTGAGCAGTTCGTGGGCATCACTCTTCCCCGTTTTCCAGCAAAAGAAAGGCAGGCAGGGAACGGTGCTGGCGGGGATGGGCATTGCCCCCTGTGCCCTGGGCTCCCTGGGCCGGCGGACTTTGGGGAAAAGCAGTTGGGAGACACTCTAAACATATAATACATGTCCAACTCTCAAACGCTGGAGTTTTTTTTTTTTTTTCCTTTCCCTTTTTGGGGGGTGGAGGCGGGATTCTTAGGAAAATTCTGGTATTTGGTTTCTCCACTAACCTCACCCCATTTCTGTGGCTGTATCTGGGAAGATATATTTTCACCCTAAGAGTTGCTCCATATTGCGCCTGGCACAAGACATATACCTGTGGATCCACCCAGGATTTTATTAGGTTTGGGGAATACTGATGTTGTTTCAGTTAAAAACTAATCCAAGCTTAATGTCCTGATGGAAATGAAAATATACCCAGGAGAAAGCAAAGTCAGCAGATTCACCCAACCCCCTAAAAATGCCATAAATATCTCATTTTATCTGAAGGGGTTTTTTTCCTTCCATTTACAAAATAAAATTCAGTTTACTCTTAGGAAGATCTCCCTATCACTGCTTTTAGTCATCATATCACATCTCCGGTTTTACCGATAGATAGGGAAGAGTTAGGAGTTACAGTATTCTGTTTTTCATTCCCTGCCTTCTCCTCACCGCGCACTTTTCCTCCTTCTCATGTTCTCCTCTGCTCTCCTCTCCCCTCTTTCCTCTGCTCTCCTCTCCTCTCCCCTTCTCTCCCCTCCCCTCCTCTCCAGGCAAAGCAGGACAAGGATACAGCTTTCCACAAAGACAATGGGCTTTTCCCCACTGTACATGACTACATCACCAGCCCTGCCAGTTAATCAGTGCATTTCATCTTTGCCAGCGGATGCTGAGACGCTGCCTGCAATAACCGACTGTGTTTCTTCGGGCCGGGGCATGCAGACCCCTCCTCCCCCGCCCCCCGTTCGAGTTTTCAGTTGCTAATGAAAACCGTATGAAACAGATTTCCCTTGTTATGTAACCGGCTTCTCTCTCGCCTTTCGGTTGACTTGGGCATGATGCTTCTCAGCAGAGCGGAGATGCATGCAACGACGGCGGAACTGGGGAGTGGGGAGTGGGGACCCGAGGGCTCGGAACGCCTGCCCAGGTGGATGCCAGCTTCTCGCCTTCCAGCCACTCAGCGCACCGCTTACCTTGCTGCGGACGGGGTGGTGTCATTCAATCATGATCTCCTCTCTTGGACCGGAGCAAGGTTTAATAACCACTACACGACGGATGGCGAGGGAAGGAAATACAAAAAGAAAAGGAAAAGAAAAACTGGGATCAGAGGGTCAGATTTCACATCAGCCCCGAGAGGCTGTTAGGAGACTCCATCCTCCTTGCGGGTCATCCAGGTCTGGGTCCAGCTGCCCGGGTCCCGCGGATGCCCCCTCCGCCCGCCCAGCCTCTCCAGCCAGGTGCGGCCGTCTTCGGACTGGCTCCCTGTGGCCAGGAGCGGGCAGGCGGGCTGGGCGCCGGGGCCGAAGGAGGGGCGGAGGGGCGTGCGCTCCGGTAGGACCGGGGAGGGCGACCGGCTGGAAGGAAGAGGGAAAAGGCAAGAGTGGCAGGAAGAAAAAAATCCCCGGTTAGGATAAAAGTGATGGACCACGCAGGGAGACGTCATGAAATCCGCAGATTCAATGAATGCTACTCAATTCCAGCCGACTGGCTGAGCCCGGCTGTCAGCGCACGAAGCGACGCGGCCCGGGGATGAGAGCGAGCGCAGCGCCGCGCGCTGGAGAAAGCCGGCCACGTCGCGGGCTCCGGGAGGAGGGGCGGGGGCGGGCAGCGACCGCGCCACAGACCCGGGGACGCCCACCCCGGCCCACCCTCGCCCGCGTCGTAGCGCGCGATGGACCAGCGGTGGGCGCCGGGCAGGCGCAGCCCCCGCGGCTCCAGCACCTAACTGGAAACGAGGGCGCTCATGCTGGGGGAACCTTTGGGGTTCGCCCCCTGCCCGCCACCTTTCTCCCCGTGTCTCTGAGTCAGTTATTCCTGGAGAAACGCCTGGAAAGCAGGAAGGAGCTGAAGCTCCGGGGTCAGTTTTTGTGTGCCGGTTGTAGGGGCCCGGTCTTTGGGTTTTATGAGGTCAGGAGGCTCTGGCCGCTGTCTCCCGCTGGGCCGAAATCCCGGAGAGGCGGTGCGGGGCGCGCGGCTGGAGCGCGCGCGGTCACGAGGCCGGGAGGGGGCGCCGCGAGCAGGCCGGGTCAGCGGAGGGCCCCACCCCGCGGCTTCGCTCTCGCCTGGCGGTGACCCCCGCCGCTGTCCGCCGCGAGTGGGACCTGGTCCCGGCTGCTGCATCACCCACCCCCTACTCTGGTGTCTGTCTGGGGGTCACTGGAGACAAAAAAAGGATGTGGCCTTTTCCAAGCATAACCCAGGCTGCTTTCAGAGTTGGACAAACCCTCTGGACAGCCGCCTGCTTCCCTCTTTGAATTTAACTTGCTTTCTGTTGTTATTCCAGGGGGCGCCTCATCATGCTCCCCTCTGCACCCTCTTTTTATTATGGGCATCACAGACAATAGTTGGGCATTTCCAAAGCCTTCCCACAACTTGCTTCCACCTAGAAACAGACCTCTCTTTTATGCCTTTATTTTTCCCCTTGCGACGAATGAATCGACAATTAAATTGTAAGAGCAATGAAGAGCATTGGCTAATAATTTTAGAGTGGTCCTTTCCATAACTGGCTATTCTTGTGCTATTTTATAAAGTGACTCTCCTTCCACAAGATACAGAATCTACCTCCAAGAAGGTGACCTTACTCCAGAGGAAGGGCTCACAGAGACCTCTTATTTGCAAGATTATTTTATCCTATATACATGCATTCTAATTACACAGCAATTCAGCCCGTCAAGAATGCTGTCTGCTCTCTAAAGATGACTTCGACACAGACAGGTGTTTGCCTCAATTCGCATCATCAGGTATATGCAAGTCAACCACACACAGCCTGTGAGCCTGTATTTGTTGTTGGTTTTTCCTGAGAGGTTGTAATCTGAGTCACATATCCCATATACAGAAGATATTAGTATGTGTAACACCTGATTTTTATGCTCCACAATGCCTGCTGGATCTCGTAATAGTGTCGCAGATAAAGATAAACAAACAACTGGACAAAACAATCCTTGAGGAGTCCTGAGTGAGAATGCAAGATGCAGGATTTCGGTGGAAATAGCCTTAGAACATTAAAAGAACGACTTACATTGGCTATAGTTGTTGAAAGCTCATTCTATTTAATTTGTGAAGATACTATGAGTATGCTGGCTAATTTTGATTTTATATATTTCCACCAGTAGAAAGATTTCACAAAGTCTCTTTCTTATAAGACATTAGACTAAATAATGTCAAGAAATGGTCATAACCTATCCGTCTCTGTCGACCACTTCAAAAACTTTCCTAACTTGAAACAGCTGCCAGGGTGATGTGGGCTGTGGCTCTTCTAAGAGTATGTGTTAAATGAGATGGGATTTGATTAACGCCAGAGACAAAAGCAATTGGCTTAACTGAATTCATTTATTCCCTAGAGCTCAGATAGTGATCTGCATGTGTATAACTAAGAGTCTGGAAATCAGGCAAGCTGTGCTTCAGAGCTACAAACTGTGGCTCCTCTGAGCTCCTGAGAGCCCCGTCCCTCAAACTGCGTCGTGCTGAACGTATCTGAAATTCTGACTTACATATTTATTTATGATTTCAGGTGAAGGCAAGACCTGCAGGTGGGGGCCCTTTCTGGGTAGGTCAGTGCTGCAAGCTGACTCAGATAATGACTTTTAGAATTTATCGATTATTTTATATAGATGAGGCTGGATTCTCCCCCACATGTCAAACTGTAATGGAGGCTTATTAGCTAGTAAGATCGACAAACTGAATTATCTTGATGGGCGTCATTTGGTTTGGGTAATCTCGTTTTCCTCCATCATTGATTGTGGCCATTCACAAACCAATCTATCTTCTCGGCCCATATGTGGATCTGGCCTTGCTTTGGACTGGCTGACACCAGAGCCGAGGCGGGTGGGGATTTCTGGCCCCGGGGCCAGGACATGTTTTAGATTTCAGACCTTGACTGCTGGGGAGTCTCAGCTCCTCTTCTGTTTCACTTCCCTCCACCCATCTTTCCCCACAACGTCAACACAGATAAACAACATCTTTAAAATACAGATATAGGCATATACCTTTTTAAAAAAATTACTTTTGGCTGAGAAAAGACATCTTAAAGAGTATCAAGAAAGAAATTTTAAAATTATTCTATTTTACAGCTCTGCTTCAAATGTACTGAATAGATCTCATCCACGTTTCTTATTTAGGGAATATCTATAAACAGCTGTCGTATTTCCTTTTTTGATTCTGATTGTAAATTTGGGGATGCAGTCTTAAGAAATATTTCTAGGTGTAAAAGGTTAAGAACTTTTGCCAAGCAGGGGGTTTCAGGCAGTTTTTAGCTCCATATCCTGCAAGGCATTTTAGGGATGTTCTTCAGAAATTTTATTCCCGATTAGGTAGTTATTCCCTTTTTCCTTGATACACTTTCACCTCCTACACATTTTCCTTACTTTGGAACTACATTCACTATTCCTACTAATCTTAAATTATAAATACTTTTACATATTTTGAAACATATGTTTTTATTTTAATTTGATGACTTGATACATGAGTACAATCAGAAGATTCATTTGATAGATTCTTTCTAATATGATGCCTTCTTAGTTCATTGTTTAGCAGGTACATTTTTTTTAATCACAGTCTTCCCCCAAAGAATTAATTAAAACGCAATTTAAAAAGCTGTAATAGCTTCTCATATAATATTTCAAAAGACCACGGGAGGTGACGATTGCAAAAATTGCATAAAGGAAACCTAGTTAGTCTTTCTGTACCTCTTACTGCAAGTAATCCTAATTAACATGACATCTACACAACAGAAGCATGGAAGGCCAAAATAAGCAAATTGAATTGGTAAGTTGTTCTTTCTGTGGTTAATCATTTGCTAAAATGCCCAGATTCTTTATTTTTTACTGACATTCTTAAGCAAAGAGGAAATTAGTAGGATAGAATGTGATAAAGTTCCTTCTTTTGTGTGCTACTGCAGCCGTCTGTGAGTCATCTCCTATAGCCACCCTGGACAACAAACTACCATTAATGGAGTGGACCTTGTCTGCTCTCAGTAGAGGAGGAGCTCCTGTCCGGCATGCCCAAGCTGCCACAGCTCTCCCAGGGAGACCTTCCCTGTCTTCCCTTGTAGAGATGCAGTGCAGAGTCCAGTTACAAATTTCAGGTCAACCTTGCTATCTTAAGCAATATTCACACACTTAGGCAATCTCAGCCCTCAGCACCCATGCTAAGTGATGGGTTCAGCCGGGAGTTTTGGCTTTATCATTTTATCTTTAAAATGGTGTTGCAGATGGGGTTCTTTGAGAAGCAGACTTTGAGTTGAAGTTAAGTGTGCTCGAGATTTATTGGGGACATTTCTAAGGGAAGTAATGTCCGTGGGATCAACACCTACGGAAGGGAGGGAAAGGAAGTAGAACTGGGCAGAGGACCCTAGCCTTGGCCAATCCCACCAGGAGGTCTGAGGCTGAAATGGCCCATTATAATTTGATCCCTCTGTCCTCCACCAGCTCAGTCACTGGGTGTGAATCAGCTTGGCAAGGGTGTGACTTTGGGGCTGGTGGCTCTTTGCATCTGAGTGCTAAATGCCATCTACAATAGCCTTCTGGAAGCTAGGTCAACAAGCCTGGACTTGTAGGGAGATCTGGGTGGCACACCTCCCTGCCCACCACAAATAGGGCTGGTAGCACTATTTACTGCATAGTATTATTGTGACTACTATATAACATAACTGCAAAGCAAGTTCACTGTGCATTGGTGACCACTTCAGCCCACTACATCTAGGGCTGTGCTTTTGCTACTTGCCTGAGTCTGCTGAGGTGGAACACTCACACACACAACAAGTTACGTGAAGTGGGTTTGTTATTCACAGATAGACAGCAAGGGACAACAGCAGCCTACGATTCATGGTGAGCTGTTCCCCCAAGACTCAGGGAAGCTGCCCAGGGCAGATGAAATGTCATCTGCATGTGCCCCACTGGCACTGTAGCTGAGGAGCCCCAAAAAGCACCCTGCACTGGGTTTTATTCCCTGTGGTAAGAAGATTCACTGGGCTAAAGTGCTGAAAGACATTCTATTTTTAGGGGGAGCAGGAGAGCCCAGGCTGGTCCATCCTGCCCTTCTTATTTCAGGATGTTGCATTCCTAGCACATTCTACAGCTATTCTTGAGAACTACAGGTGAGAAAGAGGGGAGGACTGGGTTGGTTCAAGGCCACCTGGAAAACTGTCCTGCAATAACCCATATAAAAAGTGGAGCACAGGATCTGATATACAGTAACTACTTAATAAATGTCAGCTATTTATTAATCGATGATGCTTGTCATCTGTATGATTAAGAAAACTGAGGATTATGTGTTTTTAAGTGGCTCCAGATTTGTATCCACCCAGTTTTAAGTACACTGGGACTTCAATCCAGTTTCAAGTGTCCCTCCCTCTTCAAGTAGCAGTAAGTTGCTGAGAGTTTTGCTGATTAGCTAGTGAGCCCCATCCCTGAATCACTACTGTGCCGGAAGGACGCTACATTCGATATGGTCTTTTAGAACCTAACATCTATTTCTGCCCATTTCTGGTACCCTGACTCAGGAAGATAGCACATTCATTAA